TCTAAACAGTTTGCTGTTCTGAGGTAAAATGTGTCCAATTTCCAGGTGAGGGCTGGAGATCACTCAGAATTACAAATGCTTTCCAGATGGCAGAGATCAGTTCCCCTGGAGAAAATGGTGGGCTCTGTATCCTTATATGCTGCTGAGGAACCCCCCGTATGACAGCCAATGTGACGTAGCAGTCAGGGCTTCAGAGCACAGGAGAGGCTGCAGGTGTGTGGGGGTGGGACTGGAGAAAATGGTGGGCTCTGTATCCTTATATGCTGCTGAGGTGGCCCCCGTATGACAGCCAATGTGACGTAGCAGTCAGGGCTTCAGAGCACGGGAGAGGCTGCAAGTGTGTGGGGTGGAAAGCTGAAGAGTGAGGAGGAAATAAAGGTAGGTTGATTATTGGCTGGGAAGGAGATTGGGTTGCCAACTACAGGTGGGAAATTCCTGGAGATGTGAGGGATGGAGCCTGGAGAGGGTGAGGTTTCAGGAGGCGTGGGACCTCGGACAGGTACAAAGCCATAGACTCCACCCTCCAAACCAACCATTCCCTTCTGGGGAACCATCGCCAATCTCCAGGTGAGAGCTGGAGATCACTCAAAATTACAACTGTTCATCTGGAGAAACTGGTGGACTTAGTGTCATTATACCCTCCTGAGGTCGCCACAGCAAATTGAGACTGAGTGTCCAAGGCTGGGGCACCTGCCCAGAGCCTCTTTCTAGAGCTCGTTGTATTTATTTCCACAACAGGCCTTTTTCCTAGTCTATACATAATCAGAAGCTCTCTTGATAGAAGGTGATACATGATGCTACAGCACAAAAGTAACAGGGCTTCCATATGGCAAGTTTTCAAGCATTTTCCCTGCTCCCAGTCTCCCAGCAGCAGTCACACACACAAACATACTACACCACTGGAACTTTTCTGGGTTGTTTTTTTTTTTTAAAGCAGCAATTGAGTATTGTTATACCAATATGTGAATCAAGTTCTCTGAATTTCCAGCTTTCAAAGTGTCTAGCCCCTTTCTTTGCAGAGATGTAAAGGGAAAAGTACAAAGCTATGACTAAAAGGGCTAGAGAGTTCCTTTTTAAAAGATGAAAGTGGAAATTCAAATAATCTGATTCACATACTGTTATAATGATATTCCCCCAAAAAAGCTCCCTGGGGGGGGGGAAATGGCTGCTGCTGGGATAGGGGCACGGGAAATGGCTCCCATGAGAATGGGACTGGGAAAACCCAACCTTTCTTGCCCACATGGAAGCCACCCAGGCTTTTCTTCAGTCTTTCCAAAATGTTATGGGAAAGTTCGAAACAATGGGGGGGGGGTATGTGAATGCTGTGGGGATTTGTAAAAGGTCAGGAGAATCTGAATTAATGGGTCCTGAACCCTTCCTTCCTCCTGGAAGGACCTTCTATGAGACATGCAGGGGTTCTTTTTGCATCTACCATTGAAGTCTATGAGTCCAAAGTACCAAGGTTGTGAACCCTCCCTTTCCCTCCTTCCTTCCTCCTGGAAGGACCTTCTACGAGACATGCAGGGGTTCTTTTTGAATCACGGTACATGCAGTCCATTGCATCTGCCATTTAAGTCTATGAGTCCAAAGTACCAAGGTTGGGTCCTAAAAAAGATAGGTTCCCTTGCTCGAAAGCCAGTCGAGTCCGACTCTAGGGTTGCGGTGCTCATCTCCGTTTCAAAACCGAAGAGCCAGCGCTGTCCGCAGACCTTTCCGTGGTCATGTGGCCGGCATGACGCACGGAACGCTGTTACCTTCCCACCGAAGTGGCACCTATTTATCTACTTGCAATTTCTTGCTTTCGAACTGCTAGGTTGGCTCTTATAATCTACCCATACCCTGTAAAATCTGCCTTGAATTTCCAGTCACTCAGAGAAGGGGGAGACCATAGCTATACCAACTACCTTCAGTGGATCTGCCCCAAATTTTTATAGCAAAAGTTGTCTTATTTACCAGTCATTGACACTAACAGCAAGAGCATTTTCATTTCAATTACTAGCATTAGGGACCAAAATCCCATCCCATAACCAAGGCTTCACCTTTAAGCATTATTTATTATTATTTATTATTTTAATTTATAGCCCGTCCTCCCCGCAAGCGGGCTCAGGGCGGCTCACAAATAGGGCAAATGCCAATACATAAAACAAGTTAAAAACAACATAAAAACAATCATTTACAATATTCCAAGTGCTCTAGATGACTAATCAGTCACGTTTGAGAACTTCCTTTCCACATTACTTGCATTCCGGCTATTGCAACATGATACTAACTCCTTACCCCTCACTGAACAATGTTATGTAGTTGCTGTATGATATACATTCCATCCAGACCAATAGTTCAGAAGGAGCAAACTCATTATCCAGCAAATGAAAAAAAGAAAATCTCACCAGCGTTATGCTAGCATAAATCCATCTTCCAGCCAGAGAGTTGCTCATTTGACTTTAGAATTAATCTTTGCTACATCGTAATCTATTCTGTCCGATGTGAAAGAATTACAAATACTGTGAGAAAGATGAACTACACCCTCTCAGAGGTCCAGAGAGACCAAGGGTCACTTCCATCTTTTGAGGCCCCTAGCCATAATTTAAAAAAAATTAATGACAACACACGATGTGCCAAAAAATAAGTTGAGAAACATATTAGCTGCTAAAAAAGCAACAAGTGACCTCTGTGCTTCAGGCCAGGCCAAAGACCCCTCCCCCAATTGCCCCTGGTTAGAACACATTTTTAACACCAGCTTATGAAAATGCCTCCCCTGGCTTTGGTGTTTCCATGGTCCAGGCAAGATATAGACTACCAGCAATCAGGAGGAACAGAGGCCAGTATCAAGGTAGCTCTTCCCTGTTCACAGGCAGTTTTCCCTCCTTAAAAGAAACATATTAGCTGCTAAAAAAGCAACAAGTGACCTCTGTGCTTCAGGCCAGGCCAAAGACCCCTCCCCCAATTGCCCCTGGTTAGAACACATTTTTAACACCAGCTTATGAAAATGCCTCCCCTGGCTTTGGTGTTTCCATGGTCCAGGCAAGATATAGACCACCAGCAATCAGGAGGAACAGAGTCCAGTATCAAGGTAGCTCTGTTCACAGGCAGTTTTCCCTCCTTAAAACGATTAAGTGCTCACTTCACACAAATGTGTACTTCTCAGGTGGAGTCTCCCTCACCCCAGACAGGTAGCTTAAGATATTGGTGTTTTTGTGAAAGGATGGTGATCATGTCCATGATAGGCAGTTGACATTTGTATAACTTCTGAAGGGAACTGAAAAGCGCTTCAGGACCATCAACCCAGTCACCAGTGCCAGTGTTCGCTCTAAGCGGAGTTAGGGTGAGCTAGCTCACCGTTTTTTAGCTTCCGGCTCACACATTTTTGTCTCAGGAAGGATAGCTCGAGAGCCAACTAATTTATGCAGCTATCAAACCGCTTGATCACAACTTTAATGCCAGCAGCGGACAAAGTAGAATTCTTGCTCGCAAGACTCACAGCTTAGAGGGAGCATTGGACACCACCACCCCCCACCCCGAAGATCAGCCTGTGTCCGAATTTAGCCGGAGCCTGTTATTGGCTCGTCCGGGGGACGAGAGTGGAAACATAACTCGGCTGGCTAGCGGCTTTTCATTGATTCGCACGGCCCAGTCGGGGGTGGGGGGGACGGGAGGAGAGCCAAGCCGCTGCTCCGGCGGCCCACCCCCTGGCCCGCTTCGCTCGGAAATGCAAATGAGTCGCTCCCAAGCAGGAGAAAAAAGGCGCCGCGCCGGGGAGGAAGCAGCAGCCGCCGCCGCCGCCACTCTGTTTGCCTCTAGACTTCTCCGTGAGAGTTCCCCAGCTCCGAGCCCGACCTGCCGTGACAAGTGCAGCCCCTTGCCCCCCGCTCCGCCGTCACCGATACAGATGGCACTGAATAATGAGCGCGCGCACACACACCCCAAAGGCAACCCCCGCCCCGATCCGCCGCAGCCCAAGCGGACCGTCGCGGAAGAGACGCGGGTGAGGCTGCCCCGCCCGCCCTTTCCCACCCGGGCTGGCTTCTCCCGCCTCGCCTCGCCTCGCCTTACCTTCCCTTTCTCTAACAGCTCCACTAGGTAGCCAAACTCGCGCCCTTCCGCTGACATTTCAGACTTCATCGTCATCGTCCTCCCCCCTTAAGGAGCGCGGCAGCGACGAGGCGCCGGCCCAAAGAGAAGCTCCAGCCGCTCTCCCCAGTCCCCGCCGCCGCCGCCCCGACCCCCTGCCTCCGTCGCCTCTCTTGGCCCGGCGCGTCGAAGAAAAGGCGCTGCTGCCCGGACGGGTTCTGCCTGCGAGCTGCTCAAGGCGCGGAGGAGCTCCCTGGAAAAGCCGGGGTGGGAAAGGTTCAGTAACCGAACTCCAGCTCGGGACATTCAAGCTCCGCCTAGAGTCTGTCTCTCTGCCCCCCCCTTCTCCTACCCCCACGAGTGGGTCTCACCGCCCGAGCGAGAGCCGCCGCCCCACCCGCAGCCGAGCCCTTGCCGCCCGTCGTCGCCCTCCTTTCCCGGGCACTCGGGCTACAGCCCCGGGCCGAGAGAGTTCCACGCGGAACACCGTGGGACTTGCTTCCGAGCCGGCGCGCTTAGGAGCCTCCTGGATGCGGCCTCTCTCCCTGCGCTTGTTCGTTCCGAGGCCGGAGGGCGTCCCTTCGCGTCCCCTTTCGAGGTGTCCAGGCGGTGAGGGCGGCAGTCCCGTCTAATTAATGAAAACCTCGAGGGCAGAGAGGGCCACTAATGGCAAAACATCAGGCACATACCGTAACTGCGTCCTATCGATCGGTTAGATCCCGTGCCTTTCGATGCTTGGGAGCTGAGAGTGGCCCTTTAAAAAAGGAAACGGGGGGGGGAGTCAGGAATGGCCTCTATAGAATATCTGCTGTTGAGCGTAATGGGCTTGTTTATATGCTTTAGACAAATGCAGAAAAGAAAGTCACAAACCCCATCCTGTCCATGTTTACATTTCTCACTGATGGCGATGGGATGGACTCCCTAGCAAGTGTGCACAGGATTGCAGTGTCCAATTAATATTTGCTTTCACTGCTAAAATTCCTAGGTAATTATGGTGGTTTCCACACTGGGCAGGCTTGCCTGGTTTTCCTGATGCTGATAAAGTGCAGCAGCAAGGGGGCTTCGGCATGGCAGGCTTCCCTGCCCTAGTCTTCCAGCAGTGCAGCAGCTGCCACTGTCTTTCCACAAGAATCCAAGAGGGAGCCATGCTAGATCAGCCCCAGAATTAGAATATTGTTGTACCACTGTAACAATAGGTGTAGCAGGTTCTCTAAGTTCCCAGCTTTCATTTTTTTAAAAAGTCTCTAGGCCTTTCCACTGTTGAGATATGCCTTTCCCCTTACACCTCTGCACAAATGCACCACAGTGCTGTGGGGAAGCGGGGGTGGGGAATCCATTTTCCAACAGTATTAAACTTAGGGCATATAACCGATGCAGAAATGGTCTATGGCTAAACACTATAAAGGTTATTTCTATGCCATGTTGGCATGGATTTGTGTACAGCCCAATCTTAGGGGCACCTAAGCTCATTGGAGTTGCGGATTTAGGTGTATCTCTGTATTGGATCGGACTGCTAAATACAATTGACCCAAAAGAAGAAATTCCCTGTTCAGAAACCTTAAAAAAGCTTCCACACCTTTCAACATGGCTGAGCTTGGACCATTTACTCCCTTTTCAGCCTAACATACTTGCAAGGTTGTTGTGAGGATACATTGCAAAAGGGCAGAAGAACATATGCCACTCTGAACTCTTTGGAGGAAGGAGGCATAAACAATGTACTATACTTATTTACTAAATCTATCATCTGCCTTTATTTAAACATGCAATAAGGACCATCATAACACATATCATAAACAGTGCAGTAAAACTGGATCACACAATTAGAGTGAGCCAGGGAGAGAGAGTAGAGGCTCTTTTAGAGCTCCTTGCTGTGACAGATGCTGCAGATTGTCTGATGGATTTGGACAGAGGGACCAGGCTTACTGTCATAACTTAAGCCCGGTCTACTCATGGAACACAGCTGAAAGAATCATGAGATGGCAGGCTGGACTGCACTACTTCAGGATGATGGTGGTGGGGAGGGTTGATACTATTAGTAACACTCTCATAAAATATGCACTTTGTAAAAACACCATCTCCACCCTAGTATAATCAGGAGAAAGGTTCTAACCCAATCCTTTGTCTGCTCTAATAGCTGTTTAAAAATAGCAATGAGATTTTTAAAAAATACATGAGAGCACACTTTAGAAATGTGATCCTTTGCTTGCAGTGGTACAATCAGTGGCTATTAGCCACAAGGTATAGATAGGGACTCTGGGGCAAGTGATGCTCTGTCTTCTTGGTGCTGGGGGGGGGGGTCAACAGTGGGAGGGCTTCTAATGTCCTGGCCCCACTGGTGGACCTCCTGATGGCACCTGGTATTTCTGGCCACTGTGTGATACAGAGTGTTGGACTGGATGGGCCTTTGGCCTGATCCAACATTGGCGTCTCTTATGTTATGTTCTTAATCCATGGCATCACCTCAAAAATCTACCATTTCATTCTATTGCATATGTGGACCAGGCCTAACCCAGACAACACTAAATATCTTCTAACACTTAGAGTCAAATGACGCATTATGCAAAACATTACGATCCTCTCTTCCAAAAAGAATGTCAGAGTTAAGGCATGTAATGTTCATTGTTAGCAGGGTTGCCAGCTTTGGGTTGGGAAATACCTGGAGATTTTGGGGGTAGATACTGAGGTAGGCAGGATTTGGGGAGGGGAGGGGAGGGATTTCAATGGAGTATAATGTCATAGAGTCCACCTTCCAAAGCAGTCATTTTCTCCAAGTGAACTGAATTCTGTCACCTGAAGAACAGTTGTAAATCCCAGGAGATCCCCTGCCACCACCTGGAGGTTGGCACCTTTAGGTTTGTTTGTTTGTTTTTAAAGAGACAGTCACATCATGCAAGAGACTGGGACCTTACAGAACTCTGGTGTGTTGGGGAAGTGGTTCATAAATTCTTCTGGTACTCTACTCAAAATATTCCCCCAACTGATTTTCTATTAATTGAGGAAAGGATAAGTACCCCTTGCCTTCTGGACTGCCTCTCAAAATTGCAGTCTTCTATGGGCGCTTTTCTTTAAAGAAAAGGTAGGGAAAAGAATAATGGAACTACATCTAACACACAGTTTAACTCTTAAAGATGTTTGATGCTGTACGGCTGGTCCTTTCCCTTCACTTCCCCACAACAGACACCCTATGAGGTAGATGGGGCTGAGAGAGCTCTCTTGAGAACCACTTGTGAGAGAACAGCTCTGAAAGAATGTGTAACTGACCCAAGGTCACACCAGCAGCTGTATGTGGAGGCGTGGGTAATCAAACCTGGTTGTCCCAGATTAGAGTCCGCGCTCCTAACCACTGCACCAAACTGGCTAAACGAAAGTGCCAACCCAACGTGCCACAGCCGTGAAAAAGGCAAATTCTATGCCAAGGATTATTAGGAAAGGGATTGAAAATAAAACAGCTGGTATTAAAATGCCTATATAGATCTACAGTGCGGCTTCATTTGGAACAGTGTGTCATTCTGGTTGCTTAAGAAATTCAGATAGTTAATTTAGGCCAAGATATGTTTGCTATTTCTGTTAGGATTGTGCCCACAGTAAGTTTTCAAGGCGATTAAACACATTAAACTGTGTGTTGGACCACAGTCTATAAAGTACGACTTGCTTCATATGTAAACTCGTTGCAGATTTTAATGTCAAGCAAGCATGATACATAGAATGTATGTTGTGCTCATAGATTTGATTTGATTTCAATAGCTTAGTCCTCCAGACTACTTCTAATTTTTGTGGAGAAAGGTAAGAATGGCAGGGCAAGCTTCAGAATCATTTCAGTCCCTATTACTAATAACCTGGTAATACTGGGTATTATTCATTTTGATGAAATACACTTCTACGCTGCTTGCTTCCCTCTCATTCAAAGATGGTGTTTCATTCAAACAGTGGATTTCTTTTCTTTGTTGAGTGCAGTCTTCTGAAGAAACAATCTCTAATCTTTGGATTTCTGGGTATCTTCTTGGTTTAATCCTCTTTTGTACTGCCTGAGTGCAATAAATCCAAAACTGGAACTGTCCCAATAGATGATAGTCTGAAGGCCAGCATAACTCCAGATTTTCATCAGAATACCACATCATGAGAAACTGGGAGCTAAGATCTGCTGAAAACCTGACCCTACCATATTATGTAACCTCACTGAACCTCTCCATACAGTCTGTCCGCAGGTTACTTTAGAACAGCATAATGGCTGTTTTCACAGGTTCCAATGGTTTAGGTTACTGTAGTAATGCTACTCCAGTTCCTTTCTTCAGGTTATCCCTGAAACAATATACTCTTTATTTTGCAGGAAACTGAGCGCACAAATAGATATCAAGGTCTTTTGTTACTAGGGACTGTGCACTTCCATGAGATAATTCATTAGCTAAATAGCTTGTTGTTCGGATCTCTCAGCACATCTCCTGGACATTTTTCAATGCAGTCTTCTGTTTTTGTCACAAAAGGTACAGATTAACAACATGAGCCTAAGCAAAAATGAGGACTGTCATCAAGCGATGAAGAGGTGATCTTCATAAAGGTGGTAACATCATAGTGCTCGATTTGAATGGCTCTGTACAGCACAACAGATCAGCGTCACTCTTCTCTCTGCAGCTGATGAGGCCTTCCCTCTGCCAAAGACCTGTCACTTCACTCCTGCGATAACACTCAGAGCCAATTGTCCAGTGCTAGATCCATCGTGCATTACTGAAATAGATCCTGATCCTTCTGGGCCTGAAGTTCAGAAGTAAGAGGAGGCAAAGCAGGCAACAGCACTAGAGTGGGTGCAGCAAGGGATACCAACTCCAGGTTAGGGAATTCCTGGAGATTGAGGGGTAGTGCCTGGGGAGGGTGTGATTTGGGGAGGGAAGGATCATTCATCAGTGAGGTTTGATGCCATAGACTTCACCCTCCAAAGCAGCCATCTTCTCCAGAGGATCTGATCTCTGTTGTCTGGAGGGCAGTTGTAATTCCAGAAGATCTCCAGGCCTCACCTGGAGTGTGGGAGTCCTA